GGATGGTGAGCCTGTTCTTGGTGATAACCCTGTGAGGTTGAAGCGCTTGAAAGCAAATGCTGAAAAGGCAAAAGAAGAAGAGGTGTCTGTGCATGAGTCTTTGGAGGCCAAGGAGGCTCTTCTTGCTCGTGCCCTTGATGAAAATGAGGTAATCAGCTTGAGATTATCTGTAATTTCCCTCTGTTTGGCTGCTTTTAATTCTTATTAGTTTTCTCATTTTGCATAAACTATCTGATTCATTTATGCCAAACTAGTTTGGTTTCCTGAACATGGCTTGTCACCTCGGAATGGAATCTTGGTTAAAGTTTTTGTGTGGAAAAAGAAAATATAGGAAGCTCTCTTTTCTAACAATGATTTGCATGTGCAGGCATTGTTCCTCTCTTTGTACAAAAACTTCTCAAATGTGTTGATGGAACGTCTACCTGATCCATCTAGAGCTCGAACATTGCGGGAATTAAAGTCAATTCAAGCGGATGAAATGACCATGGATCTCGATGAATCATCAGTAATGGAAGTGGATAATGAGAGCGGGAGACCCAACAAAAGGTTACTTTCCCCTCTTGCCCTTTTTCTTCTCCTCCCTTTTTCTTTCCTTTGTTTTTTTTTTTTCTCTGCATTTACTTTTCATTTCAAGAGCTATTTTGTTTCTCTCAACTCTGGCAGTCAGTTGAATGGAGGAAAGGAAAGCAACATCTATAATGTGGGAGAGAGAGAGCAATGGTGTTTATCAACTCTTGGCTATGTCAAGGCCTTTGCAAGACAGTATGCTTCTGAGGTAAATTTGGTGTAATGAGCTTCTATTCTTTTTCTGACTTCGTAGTTTTTTGGCATTTGTCTGAGTTTTATGTTCAGATATTCTCTCTTTCCCCTCTTTGATAGATCTTGTACAGCTCTTGCAGAACATTTTTAGTGTAATGGGTGGGAAACAACTCTGAATTTAGCAATAACCAGCTTACATTTTGTATTCATCGGTGATGCCGGTCTTAGTTTTAGAGATCCTGTGCTTTTTTATATTTAAATTTGTTTACCCTAATGTAAGAAATCTAGCTCAGCAAAAGCTGTTCTTTTTGCTGCAATGGTTCCTCAACTGGAACGATTTGTCTTTTGTTCAGTCCTACTAAGAGAATGTCATGACAACTGATGCAGCAGCAGTCTGTGGTAGAGCACTGCCAAATGGTCTGCAGAGGAGCTTAAAGCTTATTTGCCTAAACTTATTTTAGAAATTGGCACTTGGTAGATGGTTAGATGGTAGCCAAGGCAGTCTCTACTTTCTTTTAGGCTCTGTTGAACAGAATTAACTGGCAATACTTGTAAGAAATTCAGATCAGTAACTCCATAAAATGAAAAGGAACACACACACACCTACAGAGGGAACGTGATATGGACAAGCAATATAGCTGGATGTGGTCACAACATTATAGAAGTCGAACAGAGATGTATCTTTTTTTGCACTCCACGCTTTACTTGATTCATTGATGTTCCATCCCTTCTGTTTCATCTGCACTTCCTGTTGTGGAGCATTGCCATAAACTATTTAACTCTGAAAATTTGGATCTTCTTGGCAACAGAAGCCTGGGAACATTGATATCTATTACTGATGTTACTCACAGCACGTTTGATACCAGCGAAGTATTTCTATGAAACTTCTCTATCTCATACTATTTCATTGTTTGGGTGCACTAGCCACTGCTCTTTTTATGTGCATATTATGAATTCATGATGGCCATAACTGTCATTCATATTTTTTTTAGTACCAGCGAAGTATTTCTATGAAACTTCTCTATCTCATACTATTTCATTGTTTGGGTGCACTAGCCACTGCTCTTTTTATGTGCATATTATGAATTCATGATGGCCATAACTATCATTCATATTTTTTTTTAGTTTAAATGTATCATTAGAGATGATAAAGAATACAATGGATGTCTATGTTTCTGATGTCTATGCTCTACTTTGTTTGCAGATATGGGCTCACATCGAGAAGCTAGATGCAGAAGTATTCACAGAAAATGTGCATCCTCTTTTCAAGAAAGCTGTTTATTCTGGTTTAAGTCGGCCAATCAATGATGTGTGATCTGGCTAAAATTCATATAAATTTTTTATCCTGCATTCAAAATTGATTAGTGTACATGACCAAGGCTATTGAAAGAAAATTGAGTTTAGCCTCAATATCCAGGGTAAGCTAAGTTGTTTTAACTATGTTTTTTTTTTTTCCTGGCCCTACCTGCGAATCTGGTTGATTAGGGAGAAGCTAACCAAAGCCGCATATCTGGGAACCTAGGTTATGAGTATCCTGTATATTAACTATGTAACATCTTTGATACTGTTTGTTTTCTTCCATGGTGTTTTTGGTACAGCTTTGACACGGTTGCATTGAGCTCGTTTTTAAGTTAACCTCACCTGGTAACAGCCGTCGTGCTTTTGGTTTTTGTCATCAATCAGTTAAATCGGTAGTTCATAATCTCATGTTTTCCTTTTTGCTCAGCAATCACAAGGCAGGTGTTAATTTTAGGCAGGGTCATTGTTATTCTGTTGGAACGGTAGACCAATAAATGCCCACTTTGTGCTGTTGCTTTTCTGTCTGCCTCTTCTTCGCCATTATTGCACGCATTTTATTGCTGTCAATTGGGTCGTGATTTAGGCCAGTTTTTGTGCTTGTTGAAAGGTTATTGGTGTCTCCTCATTAAAAGATTCATCATGGACCATTTTATCATTAGTTGACGTGACAATAAGTATTTGGGACCTGCCTAACATGTCCCATGTTAATATTGTAGTATCAGAAAGCATAAACCTTGGTTTTATCGTTTTTTTTTTTTTTTTTTTTTTTTTTTTTTTTTTTTTTTTTTTTTTTTTTAATCTTGAAGTGCATTGCAAATGAATGAAAGCATGATAAGCTGTCAAATGATGCGAAACAATCGATCACGTTGTCTGGTCTTGAGATGTACGATATCAGGTCACGATATTATAACATCATTGGGGAAAGTAGGAGGGTTGTGCCTGTAAGCATGCTATGGTCGAAGCACAACAAGATCCTCTGTAAAAAGAACTGGCCTCTCAATGCATGTGGTTGGGTGTCCATGGTGGCTATATGCGCGATAGATGTTCGATCGAACTCGGGTCAAAAGCTTGTTGCCCGCTTCAGTTGTGCACTTGATTCAAGTATTGTAGACTTGTAGTTGAGATCAAATGTGAAGGTGGTGCCTCTCGAAATCGCAAGGGAGTTGTGCTTGAGGAGAAGGAAGACGGGAAGAAAGGTTCACATGAAAATTCTGTTTGTTTTTTTTTTAATTAATTTTTTTTTGGTGTTTTTAGGTTATTTTGATATTGATGTTAAAAATAGTTTTTAAAAAATAAAATAAAAATTATTATTTTGATATATTTTTAAGTAAAAAGCAACACTTTAAAAAAATAACTATAATTATATTTCTAAACACTCCTAAATATGCTGGTCAATAATAGAACCGGAATCAAACTCGCAATCTCAGCTAAACAATACAGTTTTAATTAATCACCTATCAAAACAGGGTTTGCTCATGGCATGCAGCTGTATTTAAAGCGTGGCAAGGATTCACAATCTTCGTGGGGGCACAAAAATGAGATACTCATGAGTGAGAGCATTGATAATTCTGAGGATGGAAAACAAACAGAATTGGTTTGGTTTCTACAGCTCAACCAGTAACTTCCCTCAAAGGGAAAGGGTAACAAAAAAAGACAGGGTTTCTTGATTCGATTTCAAAGCAACGCCATTTTATTCTTCAAGTGCATGTTATTTGCTTTCAAGATCCAATTTATTTGCAGACAAGTAGATAAAATGCAAAGCAAATACTAAACAAACACACAAATATTTTATATCACCCGAGTCTAGCCTGGTGCCTGTTTGACGCGGCAAATTGTTTTTATCAAAGAATTAGATAAATAAAACATAAATAAATTATTTAATACAATTTCAATTAATTCCTTTTCCTTTTCTCTTTTAAATGGAATTGAAGCATTAAAAGCTGCAAATACTCTGAACGGAGCATCGTTTGTCACCACATGAAATCCCAAGATTTTCGTGTTCTTTTTTATTTTTTCGTGATTGATGGAGTTGAATACAGAAGTTGACCACCATCTTACAAAATCGTGACCCAATCAATGTGAAGCGGAAGTTGAAGGCGGCTATCCATCCACTCCCAATCCCCCTTCGTCCGAGTTCTTCCCTTTCATATTCTGAAAAATTGGGTGAAGACAGGTGGCTGCCCCTTCAACCCTGTCACTTCACATTGAAGACTCGATCTTGGCTGGAATAGCAGAAAATAAGCTTTAATTCTGGTTTATTTTTGTATTTTAAAAAAATAAGCTTTAATTCTGGTTTATTTTTGTGTTTTAAATTTTTTATATTTTTATTTTAAATTAATATATTTTATAATCATTTAAATATTGATATCAAATATAATTTTTAAAAATAATAAAAAATATTATTTTAATAAAAAAATTTATAAAAAAAACTATAGATACACTCAAAACATGCAACGCATGCTTTCCAGCCTCCTAACAAAATCAACAACTCCCTCCTGTGCTTGATTATAGCAGGCTTGGATTTGAGTGATAAGGTGCTTCAATTCAAGATTTTCTTTAATTATTTTTTAGAATTGATTCCCAAATGTTACATTGAATGTCTAAGGTCTTGTGATGGTTTGGTGCTGTAGGTTTTTAAAAGTATTTTCATTTAAAAATATATTAAAAAAATTATTTTAAATTTTTTATATTAAAAAAATACTAAAAAATTACTAGTAACTTGATATTTTTTAAGAAAAATATATTTATTCTTTCTATACATGACAGTTACAAATCAATCTTATTTTACTTGTGAATAAACACTTGGAACTAACATTTTGATTGTTTTGGATTTATTTCTTTTTATGTAATAAAGTCCTAGGTAGTTATAAGATATATATATAAATATATATATATATATATATATATATATATATATTGTCTAAACAACCCACTACTACACACCCATTTCTCCAACAAGGGAAGAAAAGTCACTGCTTCTCTCTCTCTCTCTCTCTCTCTGTGCACGTTTGAACCACCTTTTAGAGAGAGAAAATCAAGGCAAAGCACCCTCTTTTCTCTCCAACTCTCTTAAAAAAACAGAAAAAGAAAGAAGCATCCAAGCTCATGATTTTTTAAAGAGAGAAAGCCCCAACAAAAGTAATAGCAAAAACCCAGCATTTTTCATTCTCTCCGAATTCGAACTCCTCAATGTTTTTTTCCCAAACAGAGATCGAAGTAGGAGAAAAAAGATTATGGAGTTTGTAGGTAAATCAGTTAATAAGAAGTTTAATGGGTTTGGTGTCTTCAAAGGATATGTCAAATCCTACGACGAGTCGTCTGGATTCTTCGAGATCAAATACGAGGACGGTGATTTCGAAGAGCTTGATTTCTCTAAAGTTGCTTCTCTGTTAGAAGAGGATAAAGAAGCCGCCGGTGTTTCTGCTGCCGGGCCTGTTGACCCCAAGCCTCGTTTGGGACGGAAGGTCAAGAGGCGTAGGCGTGCTGAGCCTAAGAAGCCTGAGAGCGGAGAGTCAGGTAATTCTGGGGTTGTTGAGGCTAATGGGTATTTGGATATGAATAGAAGTGTTGATTTGAATGAGTGGTTTGTCGGGGATTTGAGGGGAAATGTTGATATTAATGTTGATTTGAATGAAACCCTGGAGAAAGGAAGTGGGGCTGTGGAGGATTTGAGAGAGGGGGTTTTTGATTTAAATGCCGGGTTCAATTTTGATTTAAATGAGGAGGAAGAGGAGGGTAATCCCAATCCCAATCCTAATTATAATCATAACAATAATAGTAACAATAAAAACAATTTAAGCGTTGATTTTGAAGGGAAGAAGAGAGGGTGTATTGACTTGAATTTGGATGTGAGTGGTGATGTGGATGAGAATTTTAAGGAGGTTGATTTGGAGTGTATAGTTGTAAAGACCCAAAAGAGGGAATGTGGGTTTGATTTGAATTTGGGGATTGATGAGGAAATTAAGGATGAGATGGATGTTGGTTTTGAAGGGCAGATGGAAGAGACTACAAATTTTGAGACTCAAAGGATGGAGGAGTTTGAGAAAAGTCATATCGAAAGTGCCATTCCTAATGGGAAATTGCAAGGAGTGCATGTCTCTAATGATTCGTGTTCGGGGTTGGTTGAGAGAATTGAGGAGGTGAATATTGTTTCCTGTGAAGATTTTAGGGCTTTTGATTCTGTTGGACTGGTGGATGTTAAGGATGTCAAGGAGGATTTTCCAGAGGTGATTGATTCAGCGAGTGTGTATAAAGAGGAGAGCGGGAGTCGGAGGAGGGGGAGGAGGGGGAGAAAGCTTCCTGATAATTTGAATTCTACTCCAGAAGTGACTGTTCTCTCAGATGCTAATGCTGTTGGGGATGATTCTATGGTGGGGAGTGGTAGGCGGAGGCGCGGGAGGAGGAGAAAGCTTGCAGATAATTTGAATTCTACTCCAGAAGTGACTGTTCTCTCAGTTGCTAATGCTGTTGGGGATGATTGTATGGTGGGTGGTGGTGGTCAGAGGCGTGGGAGGAGGAGAAAACTTGCAGATAATTTGAATTCGATTCCAGAAAAAATAATTCTCTTAGATGCTAATGCTGTTACGGAAGATTGTACGGTCAGAGTTGATGGGAACCTTGGTGATATTGGAAGTTCATATAGAGAGGTCAGTGCTAGTGCTAGAAAGAGGAGAAAAATCTTGGATAACGGGAATTCAATGCAAGAAACAACAGTCTTGAGAAGAAGTGCTCGTAGAGGGTCAGCTAAAAACAACGTGCTAAAAGATTTATCAATGTCTCCTGTAGTTAGTGCATTGACGGAGGACAAACCTGTTAAATCACATCATGAATGGCCTGAAGAGCCTGTGGTTCTTCCTCCAAAGTTGCAATTACCTCCTTCTTCACAAAATTTAAATTTGAGTGGAATTCCAGTACTTGACCTATTCTCAGTTTATGCCTGTTTGAGGTCATTTAGCACTTTGTTGTTCTTAAGTCCATTTGGGTTGGAGGAATTTGTGGCAGCACTGAAGGGTAACTCTCCAAGTTCTTTATTTGATTCTATTCATGTTTCAATTTTGGAAACTCTAAGAAAACATTTGGAGCACCTTTCAAATGAAGGTTCTGAATCTGCTTCTAATTGCCTGAGGTATTCTTTTTGTTTGTTCCTACCTGTTATTTTTTTTTTTGAAGTTGATTTGGTTTACATTTGAAACTTGGGTTTATTAGTATTTATTGTCTAAATTGATTATCATTGTAGGAGCCTTGATTGGGGCTTGTTGGACTTGATTACATGGCCTGTTTTCATGGTTGAGTACCTCTTGATCCATGGTTCAGGGTTGAAACCTGGATTTGATCTTAGTAGATTGAATCTGTTCAGAAGTGACTACCACAAACAACCTGTATCCGTGAAGTTGGAGATGCTACAGTGTCTTTGTGATGACATGATTGAGGTGGAGGCCATTAGGTCGGAGCTTAATAGGAGATCTTCAGGAGCTGAACCTGACATGGATTTTGATCGAAATATGAGTCCTGGGGCTTGCAAGAAAAGGAAGATTGCGATGGATGTCTCGGGTAACTCATGCCTAACGGAGGATGCTGATGATGACTGGAATAGTGATGAATGCTGCCTTTGTAAGATGGATGGGAATTTAATATGCTGTGATGGTTGTCCTGCTGCATACCATGCAAAGTGTGTAGGTGTTGCCAATAACTCTTTGCCAGAGGGTGACTGGTATTGTCCTGAGTGTGCAATTGACAGGCAGAAACCGTGGATGAAATCTCGAAAGTTGCTTCGTGGAGCAGAGCTATTGGGAGTTGATCCTTACAACCGGCTATATTTTAGCAGCTGTGGTTACTTGTTGGTGTAAGTTTTTCCTATTGATCATGGATTGGTCATCGGTGATCATTCGTGTTGCTATTTTTGCTATCTTTATTGTTTGAGTAGCTGGCATGTAGAATACAGGCTCCAAAGTATTTAACAAAACAATGAAAGCAATGTAATGAAGGTCTGTTTAGTTGGTAGTTTTCTGAAACTGTAATATTTGAAGAAGTGTTGAAGTTCGTATATTCTTATATTGGTTTAAAAATTTAAGATGATCAATATCTCAAGGCAACAAATTTATATGACTAATTAATTGGTAGTAGCCTTAAGATTTCTTTTCACTAGTCGATAGCCTTGTCTAGCATGCCATTAACAATAACTTTATGGTTTCCTTCCTTTACCTAGGGAGACAAGTTTGTGATTGTGATGATATCCCTTTAGTATTAAACTTGTGTGGTCACAGTATTTGAACTACAGTTATTTTATGATCCATCTGCATGTGAGCTTGCTTCAGAAAATGCATATTTTTTCATTTATTGTTGACCTTGCAGGTCAGATGCGTGCGACTTCGAACTCCCATTCAATTATTACCAAAGGGATGATCTTAGTGCTGTTATTGAAGTGCTAAAGTCTTCAGAGATGATTTATGGTAGCATTTTGGAGGCTATCCACAAGCACTGGGATATTCCTGTTACTTTGCACGGAGCAAGCAATTTGAGTTCAGTAAAGCATGCAACAAGCTTAGACATGAGCATACCTGCATGTATCTCGGCATCTTTAGAAACATGTGCAGCTAAAATTGAGACTGCTGGTGGACAAAACCTGGAAAAGTTTGCTAATAGATGTTGTGGTCATCTTGATTTTGAGTTTTCAAAGTCTGTTGTGAGCCCGACATGCATGAGTTCTGAAGGATCAGCTGAAACCACCCAAATCAAGTTGGGGAACCAGAACTTTCAGAAAGGGCCTGACTGTTCTAACAGATCTGCTGGCTTCTCAAATGAAACTGAGATTCCAGAAAAGTCCCCTCTCATGGGAGACTTTTCTATGACTTCCAACATTTTGGATGTTAAACAAGAAAAGAATCGATGTTCTCCTCCCACCAGATGTCCTTCATCTGCTGTAAAGGCAACAGATGAGGTCACATTACAGGTGCAGCCCAGAACTGAGTACATGAACTATTACAGTTTTGGTTATACATCTGCTTCAATTGCGGAAGTGTTATTGTCTAAATCATCAGACAAGACCACTGAAAACTCCATGAAATCAGATGAGGAAATGGCTCTAGCTCAGATGAAGGTCATTTTAAAGAATTCCAACAGGTTCCGTTGGTCAAGTATTCCTAGTCTAAATGCTGAAGTCCAGAAAGAAAAATGTGGATGGTGCTTCTCTTGCAGAGCTACCACCGATGAGCCAGATTGCTTGTTTAATATGAGTCTGGGTCCTGTTCAGGAAGGGTCTGAAAGTGAGGTGATCAGTCTCAAAACCAAAAGAAACAGGAAAGGCTATCTTGTGGATTTAATATGTCATATTCTCTTGATTGAAGATCGGCTTCAGGGGCTGCTACTGGGTCCATGGCTGAATCCACATTACACCAAGCTTTGGCGTAAAAGCATTCTTAAGGCATCTGATATTGCAACCGTTAAACATTTACTGCTCAAAGTAAGGACTTCTCTTTTACGTTGATGGTCAGCACTGAGCAGAATTGATATTGCATTTTATTTCTTCAAGATTTCTTTTATTCAAGGTTAAATCCATTTCAAGGTTCAAACTGACATGCCGAGCCTATCTTGTTTGACAGCTTTTTTACCCTGCTCACTTGATTTTAAAATGTTATTCAAACTTCTATCTTTCCTTAATCTGGGTTTCAGCTGTAAGTTGCTTTCGGACAGCCAATGTTGTCTTCGAACCAGGATTTCTTATATTTGTTTATTGAATTTATCCAGTCTCATTCTTAGCATAACAAGTCGGGGTGGTAGTCCTTGACTCCTTGGTCCAGAACAGACCAAGTTGGTCCAAGCTGTAACGATCTTTACCACAGTTATTCTTTGATGCATTAGCTTAAATTCATAGTCATATGGCTAATTGTGCAGTTAGAGGCAAATGTGCGGCGTCTTGCACTTTCAGCAGACTGGGTGAAACATGTGGACTCTGGTGTCACGATGGGATCATCTTCTCATATTGTGACTGCTTCGTCACGTGCATCATTAAAAAATGGGATTAGCAGGAAAAGGGTTAGGTCCACAGAATGTGAGTCAAATCCTTGTGCAAATCCTGCCAGCGGATTGGGTATGCTTTGGTGGAGAGGTGGTAGGCTTTCTCGACGGCTGTTCAGTTGGAAGGTTTTACCTTGCACCTTGACATCCAAGGCTGCCAGACAAGGTCTGCAATTCTTTTTCTCTTTCTTAATTTTCCTTTGGGGTGTAGTTTTTGCTTTTCAGTCAACCGAGTATTATTCTGAATATGTTTAAACTTTGAAATTCTGCAGCTGGTTGCATGAAGATAGCGGGCATATTATATCCTGAGAATTCAGATTTTGCTAAGAGAAGCAAACATGTTACCTGGCAAGCTGCCGTTGAGTCATCAGTGACTGTAGAACAGCTTGCTTTGCAGGTACGGTACTCATTTTTCTTTTCCCTTTCAATTTTTCTTGATCATGGTAATCACCTTCATGGTTTGTTTTCTCAACCTCATCTATGTGGGCAGTGCATCTAATTGTAAATGTCAGCTGTATGATTACAATGTCTGTTTTCAGCTTCCTTTCTGCTGGTTCAATCTATTTATTTTAATTGTATGACCTTTCCAGGTTAGAGAGTTTGATTCAAATATTAGGTGGGATGAAATTGAGAACACTCATCCTTTGTCTATGTTGGACAAGGAGCTTAGAAAATCGTTCAGGTTGTTCAAGAAGGTAATTATTCGCAGGAAGTGTGTAGAAGAAGAAGGGACAAAGTATCTTCTTGATTTTGGCAAGAGGAGAAGTATTCCTGAAATTGTTTTAAAAAATGGGTCTATGATTGAAGAATCCTCCAGTGAAAGGAAGAAGTATTGGCTAAATGAATCTTATGTTCCCTTTTATCTCTTGAAAAGTTTTGAAGAGAGAAAAATTGCTCGCAGATCTAGTAAGATGAAATCTGGGAAACTTTCTGAGGCTATTGTGTTAGTGAAGAAGCCCTTGAAGCAAAGAGGGTTTTCTTATCTTTTTGCTAGAGCAGAAAGATCTGAGTACCATCAGTGTGGGCATTGTAACAAAGATGTTCCAATCAGGTAATGTAATTTTAAAAATGTTGATTTTTTTTTTCATTTACCGTACACTGTTAAAATTTGACAGCATGATTACTTGTTATATGCACCTTTTTGTTTAAAGTCATTTGTTTTTGCGCTTTTGTTCCTTTTAGTATTTGTTTCATTGCAAATATTAATTTCCTTTCTTATGATATTTAACCAGGGAAGCTGTCTGCTGTCAGAATTGCAAGGGTAAGCAGCTCTTCCTTATAAATGCCACAATAATCACAGGATTAAATCTGACATTTGGCACTCACTCTCCTTTTCCATTTAAGTTTTGTATCTTACAAATATTATACAATTTTTCAGGATTTTTCCACAAAAGGCATGTGAGGAAATCCGCTGGTGCCATCATAGCTAAATGTATATATACATGCCACCGATGTCACTATGGGAAAAATTTGAAGACAAATGCAAAATCAGTGAAGACTGAAACAAAAAGAAAAAGAAATAGCATCAAGAGCACAAAAGTTCAGGAGCGAAAATCAAAAAAGGCCAATGTAGTTAGAAATTCGGTGCGACTAAAGAACAGTAAAAAAGCTTTGAGGGGTTCACAACCACTACAATCACGAAACAAGAAGGTTACTGTTGTACCACTACGTTGTTCAGCTAGGAAAGCTAAACAGAAAGCATTGCAAAACAAGAAGGTTGTAGGACGCAAGAGAGGAAGACCATCCAAATCCAAAAAGGGGGCAAATAAGAAACCAAAGAGAGGTACTTTGTTGCATAAGAAGAGAACAGATACTTGTCATAGTTACTGGCGCAATGGTCTTCTGTTGTCTAGAAATTCAGATGATGAACGGGTGACACATTTTAGGGAGAAAAGCCTTATTGCCTCATCAGAGAGTGCCATTGATGATCAACCCAAATGCCATCTTTGCTGTGAAGCAGGATATACATCTATTTCAAATTATATTTCTTGTGAGATTTGTGGAGGTAACTATGTTATTATTCTTTATGTCCATTTCCATTTAGCTAAATTGAATTGTTGGAAGCTAATGAAAAATATATTATCTGTTGATACATTAGGTCCCCCCCACTTTCTTTCTTTCTTTCTTTTCCCCCTGTTTTTCATAGCAATGTTTTCACCCTAACATGCTTTATGCAGAATGGTTTCATGGAGATGCATTTGGACTTGATGCGGAGAACATAAATAAGCTCATTGGTTTTAGGTGCCATGTGTGCCTTAAGAAGACTCCTCCTATCTGCCCGCATGCAGCAACCACAAGCCATGAGGTTGAGATAGCTGAGGTACAAAATGATGTTGGGACTGAATTACCCAAGGAAGAGACTGATGGTATCGTTCATCAAGAGGAGGATCATCCAGGTTCACTTCTTGTGTCTGAGTCTGTTCATGTAGAGGGGAAATTAGGTACTGCTCTGGATTCAAATCAGAGTTTTGTGTCCGAGTCTAAGTTGGAAGCAGAAAATGGGCATGCACTTGCAAATGTGATTGAGAATACTGATGCAATTCAAACTTTGTACGAGAATTTGAAACCAGATTTACTAACATCACCTAATGAAAGTCATATGGTCGAAGAGAACACAATTAAATCAGGAGATGATGCTATTGTAACTTCAGATGATGCCGCACAGCTCTCTTCCTGCAAGTTCGGTGTGGATTTGATAGAAACTGGATTGGCTGCATTGGGACCAGATGGTGGAAAGGATAGCTTAACAACACCCTCCCTGAAATCACCAATTGATGGATCCTTTATAGAAACCATGAAGATGCAACCTCAATCATTCATGGCATCAAATGAATTGTAAGATGAGATTGAAACAATTGTAGATTAGGTCCACTGTATGTCATTTAACTGGTGAGACAGGAAAGGTAGAGCCTAGAGTTATTTTCAAGTTCAGAGCTAACTGTAAATCTTCTAATGTTCTTGACATTCATGGCTGAAGCTTATAAAATACACTGAGAAGATTCTTTGAAAACTAAAAACAAGGAGTTTATTGGAGGAGGTAGTTTCTCTAACAGCTTTCAATCTCTATGAAGATTGCTCCATGTCATTGCTGTCTTATATGATGGAATTTACTCAGTTCGTGCTTGGGAAGCACGTGTAGGAGCATCTTTTACCAGGTCTGATGGCATTTTCCTCTCCTTACATATATGTGTGTGTGTGTGTGTGTGTGTGTGTGTGTGCATAATTTTCTTTCCCGATAGCTAGCAAGTAGGATTAGGTTATTTGGGAGAGCTTGAGGCATGGAATTGGTAGCAACAGGTTTCGTGAGGGTTTATGAAGATTAGCACATTATTCTATAACTAGGTTGTGGTGGCAGTTCTGTATTTGGATTTTTAACTTCATTTTTTGCACATTGATTTTCTATTGAAAAGTAGCTGTTAACTATGTAAACTCGTGTAAATATAACTAACATCAATATGATCAAATGGAATTCATGTGTGCATGTTTGTTTGAACCACCTTGAATTCGTATCAACTGGTAGAATTGATTTTGTATGAAACTGACGAACACAAACTTGCATGTATTTTCGTGGATATGCACACACCTGTTTATATGGAACGCATTAGATATGGTAGAATGCTAAAGTGTTTGCATAGCTCTGTGTATGTGTGTGTGGCTTGCTTGTCGTTAATTTCATGTAGATACGTGCTACGAGTGGAGCAAAATTGTAGGAGAATTCCGACTGTTTTTAAGCATGTCACGCAGCGGAATTGAACGGTTCTTTCTGGTCTTACATGGTCCTTAAGTTGTTGACCATTTTCAGCAAGGTGACATTAAGAGAGAGAGATGCAAGGAGTAGAGAGAATCACATTCTTTCCATATATATAAAGAAAAAAAAGATGAGAATTCCTCCCTTCTGTTTCTCTTTTCTCCTTGTGTCAATCTCTTTGCCTTTTTATCTATGATTGATTGAGGTTCTCTCTTGTTGGCTCCCTCTTTAGGCAACTAAGTTATAACACTCCTATCCAAGAGATTTCTCCACTCTCTACTGTTACAAGACAAAGTGGAACATACGGGTAAAAATGATGTAACATGTATAGACACTAGTTATTAAAGGAAACAGTCCTAACATTTTATTAACTCAAAATGATATACACAAATCTGTTTGGATGTGTGTGCACAATCAATCATTCTGTCTATCCACATAACTTGCAACCTGCACTCTTTAACTTGAAGGGATGTTTGAGCCAATTTTTCTCTCTGAAACGAAAGAATCGAGAAATCAATAGCTAAAACTCACTATTTCAAAACCCCGACTTGACCTGGGAGCTTAGATTGGGTTGAGCTTCAACAAATATAAAGGAAAAATTTAGTATGACCTGATTAGAATTTCAGGTTAATCTGTAACTTGGTCTGTTCAAGGAAAACCCCGATTAAAATTCATTGACCTTTTTCTCTCTTTTTTTTCAATATTTTTATTTTATTTTTTTATAAAATAAAAAAAAAATGAATCGATTCAGGTTAATTTACCACTCGTGACCTGTGAACTTGTTCCTAATTGGATTTAAATACTATCTTCTTTAAACCAACCAAGCATCGATGATAATAATCACTTATGACTAAATTGTATAAATAATTAGCAATTTATTGTTATATCAAAAGAAAATCAATGGTGGTAGAAGATGAATTTGATTTCACGGTGTTTATATTGAGATGATGTGATAGTTGGCTGGTACTGAGAGATGATAGTGAAAAAACTGCAAAAAATGATGATGGGTGTAGAGATGGTTGAATAAGAAAGAAAGAAGATGATGAAATTGTGTTCATAGCAAGAGCGAAGAAGATGACAGATAAAATCGATGTATAAGTGCTCATAGCAGGAGGGGAGAAAGGTGATACAGATCTGCAAAAATAGTGGCAGATGCATACAAGTGGTAGGTGGAAGAAGATCATTAACGTCATGAGAAATAAACTTTCTTGCCTTTGAAAATAGAGGAGCAAAAACTAGCTTTCAAATTGAACATTTGTATCGACGTGTTAATAGCAAGCATGTAATATTTTACTTGTAGAAGTTATTAAAATATTAAATAAATTAAAAAATTATTTCAAAACTTTTCCTTTTTAAAAAAAATTCATTATTTTTTTTTTTCATTATTGATCTCTCTTGTTACTAACTCACCGCGTTAACATATTATCAACTAGCTATATAATTCACACTTCATTATGAATTAAAAAACTTTTTATCTAAAAAAATATTGGGATGCAAGGTACTTTGATACTTTTTTTACATGAAAAAATCAAATTTTAAATTAAAAGGTACATCCAAATATCTAATTAAATAAATTGATTATCATTTATATCTATATAAATGAGCAAAAAAAAATTACTAATAGAAAATTTAAAAAAAATAAAAGATGAATGTAAATCAAGATATTCAATCACACAAAATAGAATATTTATCTAATTGTATTTATTGAACTTATTTATTTAAATTAAAAAAAATAAACCACAAAAAAAATTGTAATCTAAAAAATAAATACAAATAAAACCGATTGAATAAACCCATACCCTAAAAAAATATTATGCAAGGCCGAACTTATATTAGAATAATATCTCAAAAAATTAAACACAAATAAAATAAATTTTTAAAAAAACTTATATTATAAAAAACATGTAAAACTCATGATCTTCATCATAAGACCAAGATAAAACCAAGATAAACTCATAAAAAAATTAAAAATAAACACAAAACCAATATATATATATAAAAAAAACTAATGTAGAACAATAAGATTGTACAAAGCTGAATTCATAACAAATTAAATATCAAGAAGATGAAATTAAAAAAATTAATTACACAAAAAAATAAAAAAAATGATGGTGGAAATAAAAAATTATTAGAGGGAAAATAAAAATTTTCAATTAGAAGGTTAAATTGAATTGAAAAATAGATTTAACAACAAAAAATAAATAAAAAAAATAAGAATCAAATTTAAAAAAAAAATAGAATAACAAAAACTTTGATTAAAACATAAAATTAAAAGCAAAAAAACCTTATTAGAATGACAAAAAAAAAATTAAAAGAATAGGCATCAAGAAAAAAAAATTATATGAGAAATTGTAATTAAATGAGTAAATTGAAAAAAAAACATAAAACTTCTATAAAAAGAATAATAAAAAAATAAAAAAAATAAAAACTAAAATTAAAAATAAAAAATAAAAAAAACAATCACACATTTTATTTAGTAGGAGAGAGAAGAAAAAATAAAAACCACTAATGATAATCCGTTCATAATACACTATCATACCCCATACATGATGATATATCTAAAGAGACGATGGAAAGTAAGGTTTGACCATCGAGTGATATTAAATGGGCTGTTTAAATGATGCAAACACCATTAATTCAATGGTGTGTACTTAACACAAGTTACTATTTTTTTAATTAAAATAATTATAAAAAAATAATATTAAAATATTAAAATGCTTCCATAACCTTGATAATTACTCTAAAAAACTTGTGTAAAAATACAAAAATAATTTTGAATGCAAACCTTAATATTTTTTTCTTGAAAGCAAAATAATAATTTAACTGAAATAATTTATAGTAATATATGTCTAATGCTAGAATGAAACAGCAACGTCATATATATTTTGTTAAATTATTATATAAAATATAATTTTTTCAAATAAAAGAGGAAACCCGTAAATAAATGCATGTCATCCACCGCACAAGTGACAAAAGAGAGAAAGAGGGCAGGAGAGCATAAAACATGATCATCAAATGCGAGGGACCAAACCTATCTATAACAGATCATGTAACAGATAAGAAAGGCAAAGCATATAACACTCGTGATTTTCAAGTCAAACACAACAAAACAATGCCATTCTCTCCCACATCTCCTTCTTCTTCTTCACTATCTACCCTTCAATCTTCTACTCCTGCTCTTTTTTCTTCACTCAAACCACACTCCCATCCTTTTCCTCCCTCTTCTTTTTCTTATGCTTTCAACCCCAAGAAAAGACTCTCCCACACCCGTCGTTTTCGCGTTGTTGCTGCAAATGTAACTCTCCAGTCTGGCAATGGTGCTGTTTCTGTTGATGCTGCTCCTAATACTTCCACTGAGAAGCTGGACTCATCTTACTATGGAAGACAGTACTTCCCTTTAGCTGCTGTTGTTGGCCAGGTCTATATTATACATCTCTCTCTCTTCAATTTTGGTAATAAAAAAGATTTATTCTTTTTTAGTACTTGGTTTTTAATTATTTTGTTTGTTTGCTGTTTTTTGGTGGATATACTAAAATGGGTTGGGTCTTTTAAGGTTATAGTCGTTATGTTGTTATGGGTAAAAATGAATGAATTGATGCTGAAAGATTATTGAAGGAACTTTGTCATTAAGTTGAGAGCCTTTGGCTTTCCGAAATTTCGATACTAAATGATTTAAGCGAGTGATTGTTCTCCATAGCTGCAGCAGAATGCTATTGGATGTGCGTCGCCGCGTATGATAATGACAACTAAGTGTGCAGTGCGGCATTGGTTGTGTTTAATTTGGAAATTCATTTGATAATTGTAATGTTTGGCTTATAAATCTTTCATTAACATGTATCTAATGATGTCAATTGTGTCATAGGATGCTATCAAAACTGCTCTTTTGCTTGGGGCTATTGACCGTGAGATTGGTGGGATTGCTATATCCGGCAGGCGAGGAACAGCCAAAACAGTTATGGCACGTGGGCTTCATGAAGTTTTGCCACCCATTGATGTAGTCATGGGTTCAATAGCAAATGCAGATCCAGCATGCCCTGAAGAGTAAGCTCAATGATTGCTTGAAAGATTTGTGTGCATGTCTATGTCTGTTCTTCCTTTTCCACATACAAAAAAAGAAGACAGTATTTGTTCACACAGACAACTGCTTTTGTTTTTAATCGCCTTAAAAAGGAAGATTTTTTGCTCGGAAGTCAAATTGTCACTTTAAACACACAAAATGATATGCTATCATTTGTTCAAAGTTTATTATTGTCCACTCCCCACTCAGAACAACTTTTCCTTGATTTATGTGATGTTTATTAACACAATGCTAGCAGTGTGGGAAATGTCCATAAAAAAGTGGTTATTTTATCTGTTTGTTCACGCTCAGAAAATAAATCCTTAACCAGAAATAGTTGCGTTTGTCTGCTCAAGATCACCTAGAGGTATTGCCTCCTGTCCAGTTTTCTATGTTGTAGTTAATTTAAGGTTATTTATTATTAGGTTTTGTCTTTAATTCTTGGTCTGGTGACTTACTTGATAGGAGAAAAGCTCAAGGCTGGGCCTAGATCATAGCCTCATGTATCATTTTTCCCTTTTAGAACAAGTGATGCAAAACTCCATAATTTTTGTTTGTAAATGATAAAGCTGGAGATGCCATGTGATTAAGAAGTCGATGTTGGCATTTAAAATTTTAGCGTTGCCCTTCAATATATCTAAGCGTATGGATTTGGAAGCTGAAGCCTTATTTACTTCTATTCCATGCAGAACAAATATCATGTAATAGAAAAAAAAAGGAGTACAGACATTGAAAGATCTAATGTCTGTCAGCAAGCACATGGAGCTGCCAAATTTATGTTGTCATGAATCATGATGTTAATCCCCTAGGCCAAGGGAATTTTTTTGTTTTGAACTTTTATTTTTTTTCTCTCAAAATGACCCATCTGGCCATGCTTTCTGAAGGTGGGAGGATGGTTTGGCTGAACGAGTGGAATATGATTCCAATGGTAATATCAAGACCCAAGTTGTGAGATCTCCTTTTGTTCAGGTCCGTGCCTTGAAAAAAGCCTTAGTAGTTTAGATGGTTTTCATTACTTAGCAACAACTCTCATCTATTCATGCACAGATTCCTCTGGGAGTTACTGAGGATAGGCTCATTGGATCTGTTGATGTTGAGGAGTCCGTGAAAACAGGAACAGCTGTCTTCCAACCTGGCCTTCTTGCTGAAGCTCATAGAGGTGTTTTATATGTTGACGAAATTAATCTCTTGGATGAGGGTATAAGTAATTTGCTTCTTAATGTGTTGACCGAAGGAGTTAATATTGTTGAAAGAGAGGGAATTAGCTTTAGGCATCCTTGCAAGCCACTTTTGATTGCTACTTATAACCCAGAAGAAGGTGCTGTTCGTGAACACTTATTAGATCGCATTGCTATTAATTTGAGGTATGTGCCTTCATTTAAGCAATGGAGTAATTTCCTCGTCATTAATTTTCTTCTCACCATTTCAATAATGACACAATTCTTCTGCAGCGCAGATCTGCCAATGAATTTTGAAGATCGTGTTGCAGCTGTTGGAATTGCAACTCAATTTCAGGAACATATTAATGAAGTATTTAAACTGGTTGAGGAAGAGACTGAATATGCAAAGACCCAGGTACTGTCCAGCAACGACATGTCCTGTGAGTTGGCCCTCCAATAGAAAAATTTTAGGAGTTTAGCAAAACAAAAACCTTGGGAATGGATGGTGTAACCCAATGACAATTCCCCTCTGTCAGTTAAGAGGATATGTCAGGTTGTTGTCTATGATTTAATGCACTCCAGTTCAAGTGGAGGTTATAATTTCCCATATTCCTATAACAACTGATATTGCTTGGCTAAACCAAAGACAGGACAACCTACTTGGAATGGCTTCCTTGTATACTTAAGGGCAGAAGATTATGCTTTGAAGGAACAAATAGATACTTCTGTTTAAAGGCATGTTTATATGATTAAATGAAGTAATTTTTTTATATAATAGAAAAAGGAGAGAGCATTTTTTTGAATCCATTTGGGATGGCTAACATGCTCCATTTAGTACTAGCCCCCAACTCACAATCAGTTATGACTTTGTATAGAACTTTTCTTCCATGATACTGTATTTTGTGGTGCTACTGCTAAATGGTTCTTTGTAGCCATTGTTAATAGTTAATACAATAATATACATAATTAGCAAGCCTGACTTTCTAGAAGGCCTCTCTGTCAAGGTTTCTAGGAGATGAGTTATTTCTTAAACATATTAGATGTGCTTACATAATTTATTTCCTATGATAATTGAATTGCCTAGAACACCATACAGATTGATGAAAGCATATCCAAATTTTGCAGGTCATACATTTTGCTTCATTAAAATGCAAATGCTCGTTGTTATTCTGACAAATATGATACTTGGTCTTTATTGCATTTTGTGATGCTGCAGTATGGTTTTTTGTCCGCATAGATAATTACGCAATGTTTCTAAATTATTTTTCCTGCAGATCATTTTGGCAAGGGAGTATTTGAAGGATGTTACTATTGGCAGGGAGCAATTGAAGTACCTTGTTTTGGAAGCCCTTCGAGGTGGTTGCCAGGTACTAAGATTAAGGCTCTTGCTCAATATTTAGAGTCTTCTTTTGATTTTCCTTCCTCCCTCTCCCCCACCTCCTAAGCCCTCTCTGTTGGAATGCAAAATCAAGGAAGTCCACAGATCATCTCCCTTGACATCCTTTATACTTGGACTACTTAACAAAAACCTTTATGTTGGTGTGTTGTGCCATTATGGAATCATGAGGATGTTTTGTGATGTTCATGAATTCCGAATTGGCTGCAGATTTTTTTCTTCTCGTTTCTTTTTGAACTTGTTCTTCTTACTTTTGAGCTGCTATCAAGATCTTCTAAATGTATATTATGAATGGCAGGGACACAGAGCTGAGCTCTATGCTGCCCGTGTTGCAAAATGCCTGACTGCTTTAGAAGGACGTGAAAAAGTGACTGTGGATGACCTTAAAAAAGCTGTAAAGTATTTTTTTTTTTTTCCGAAACATAGTGCTCATAAGTAATGAGAGAAAAATGAAAAGGATTGTTTTCATTGCTTGCGATGAAGATACACTGATATAACCACTTCTATACAAAGTTTCTGAGACAGATTTTAAACCTTCTATATAATTTTTATAAAAATTTTAGCTCTTGTTATCATCATCCCTTCTTATGTATTTACTGAAATGAACTCTTTATAAGATTTGCATAAAGTTTATTAACTTCTATTCTGATATACCATCTTATGCAGGTAGAACTGGTTATTCTTCCCCGTTCAATAATAAATGAGAAACCACCTGAGCAACAAGACCAACAGCCTCCCCCTCCACCACCTCCTCAAAATCAAGATTCAGGGGATGAGCAGAATGAGGAGGAAGATCAAAAGGTTCCTTAACATTGATGAACTTATTTGTTTGATGCAGAAAATTATACTGATCTTTCCAATATTATATTTTAAAAATGAAAAAGGAAAGACAAGAAAATAGATTGCTGTTTGGTGTCTTCTGACTTATCGTTCATCTCTTCTTTATTTAGCTGGAATGCTTGTTTGAAATGTGAGTGTTCTTTTCTGTAACTAGGATGATGATAAAGAGAATGAGCAACAGCAGGAACAAATACCTGAAGAATTCATCTTTGATGCGGAGGGAGGGTTGGTTGATGAGAAACTTCTCTTCTTTGCACAACAAGCACAGAGACGCCGAGGGAAGGCTGGGAGAGCAAAGAATGTGATATTTTCAGAGGACAGAGGACGGTATATTAAACCCATGCTCCCAAAGGTTTGTCCCCTGAATGTCTTCTGCCTCTCCTGTCCTCCCTTTCTTTTTAAACGACAATTAAATTCCACTTCAGGCCAGTGTTTTTTTTTTTTTTTTTGTCTCTATAGAATTTTACACAACTAGACATAACAGTACAAGGAATTCTGATCACTTTGTATCCAATACATTGATTTTATCTTTGGTTCTTCTTTAGATTATGAATTAGCAGTCCTCTAAAATCATAATAATCTGTTTGTCCTTGCCCCACTGAATGGTCTGCTTCATCCTTTTTTCCTGAATTCCTCATTCAAGGGTCCTGTGAAAAGATTAGCGGTGGATGCAACCCTCAGGGCAGCTGCTCCATATCAAAAATTGCGTAAAGAGAAGGATACTCAAAAGAGTAGGAAGGTTTATGTTGAGAAAACTGACATGAGGGCAAAGAGAATGGCAAGAAAAGCCGGAGCACTGGTAACAATGGATTCTTGTATTATTTGCATTTACCCTCAACTTCCTTTTTAAAAAAAATGATTCTGCCTCAAAACATAATTCTGTTGCAGTTCTATATATTTATCTTTGATTGTGTTTCAAAGTTATGATTAGTGTGGTATACCATTCTGTGAAAGTTCTAGATTCAATTTTTAAATTTTAGTTGCCATCATTTTGCCATAAAGAGAAGAAAGTAAACTTCAAACATAACATTTTTTCTTATAAGTCTAATGGAATTTGGATCTTAGTGACTTCAATCACACTATCAGATTTTTTGTCTGGTAATAATAATATATAGATTTTAACAACTCTGAGCTTAATAGGATTGGTATGTTGGTCTAATTTCTGTTCCATTGCTGTGAAAGGGTGCATTTGGTTTAAGTTCTGTTCCATTATTGAGGGAGGGAGTTTGGTGCTGTTTTGATTTCCCCAACATTGAGAGAGAAAGAGGGTAAAAGAGCTCCCATGAAGTGTTGAAACTTCTGATATGTCTGGATTCTCATACACATAGTTAATGACAGGTAATATTTGTGGTTGATGCTAGTGGGAGCATGGCATTGAATCGAATGCAAAATGCAAAGGGTGCAGCACTAAAGTTGCTTGCTGAGAGTTATACAAGCAGGGATCAGGTATGTATAATTAGCACATTTGTCATGCACTTCAATTGTTGTGAAACCTTATACTTCAAATTTCTACTGATTCTTCTATGTTAAAAGAAGTTAGCTCCTGATGGCATCTAGCACTCTTAACTATCGAATTCTATGAACACTTTAAACATCTGATTCTTTCGGACTCTTTTTCTGGTCAATGTGAATTAGGTTGCTATTATTCCTTTCCGTGGAGATGCTGCTGAAGTTCTTTTGCCTCCTTCCAGATCAATCTCAATGGCAAGAAAGCGCCTTGAAAGGCTCCCATGTGGTGGTGGTTCTCCCTTAGCTCACGGCCTAACAACTGTAAGCAGATCTAGTTTATCTCCCCAGTTTGCATCTCAACAAATGAATTCCCATAAAATGGGAATTTTTCTGTTACTGAATATTTCAATTTGAGCTCATGTAAATGATATGCATACAATTCTTCGTGTGTTTTATATTGTGAATGACATCCCATGAATATACTTGCTGAAAACTGATGCCATTATCTTACTTTTTTAACTTCTGAGCTGCTATTCCTTTATGATTTATTCATGAAATTGTTAAAAAACTCAACACGCAGGACTTGTTTTTGTTGCAATCAGCATTCTGGAATTCATACACACATCCCTTATTTTGTTTCCTGATTCTAACTTTTATGAGCTTGATTTTTTTTTTAGGCTGTCAGGGTTGGGTTAAATGCAGAAAAGAGTGGTGATGTTGGACGCATAATGATTGTTGCAATAACTGATGGCAGAGCCAATATATCACTAAAAAGGTCTACTGATCCCGAAGCTGCTGGTCCTGATACTCCAAGACCTTCGGCACGAGAATTGAAGGTAAATTTTGAGCTCCGAATAGTACATGTAGCATATTGCCAACTGCAACGCAAAAGCTTCTAAAGTGGCACTAGGAGGACAGACCCCACACAGGAGATTGCCTAATTTGCTCACTCTGAAATGAACAAGACTTATCTGATTTTAGACTATACAAAACTTATTCTGAGCATATGCAACCATCCAAATAAGCTTGTTATAAAGGGATGCATAATTTTCTTGTTACCACTTTTGCTAAAACATAATTTATGTTGGACGTGAAATTCTAATCCCGAATCTTGATTTACAATTTATCCGTGTGAAGAGGTGCATAGAGAGACAAATCTGCAATCCTAAAATTTTGCTGCAGTTTTTCTTGTCTATGATTGTAATGCATTTTCTGTATGTCTGACGAAGGATGAGATTCTTGAAGTGGCTGGGAAAATATACAAGGCAGGGATGTCTCTCCTCGTCATTGACACAGAAAACAAGTTCGTTTCAACTGGTTTTGCTAAAGAAATCGCAAGAGTTGCTCAAGGTTTGTCTCCTTGAAACCTCTTTAAATCTTCGTTTTCTAGAGGGCCATGTCAAATTAATTGTGCTAGCAAATCTTGCTCTACAGGAAAATACTATTACTTGCCGAATGCATCAGACGCAGTTATTTCAGCCACAACGAAAGAAGCTTTATCAGCCTTGAAGAGTTCATGATTTTAACATTCTTGATCACCCAAATGTCGAGGATTGTATCATGTATCCCACCCGATCGAGCATGAAACTGACAAGTATGGTTAACCATGTAGAGAGTTAGCTTTTAGGTCTTTTTATTCTGTTAAATTCTGCATGTATTCTCAGCTATGAAATAAATTCATTTTCATCTTTTAGAAATTAGAACACCTCGTTTTGATAGAGTTTGCTATACCTGCATCATGCATGACCATATATTAATAAGGAAATCACGACTTTTTTTTATAGCTACATCAAGCGGTGCCTGACATGTTGGTTCTGGAGCAGCGTTCTTTCTTTCCAAGGACAAAATTTGTGAAGACTAGCGAAAGAAATATGAGGCAGACAAATTAGTCTTCACACCTGAAGTTGGCATGGAAAATCACATTGTTCTAGGACCAGACAAATTTTATCTTTTTCTTGAGAAGTCATGTGTGTCAATCACAGCAGGTTTTGGCTATTGGAGACTATATAGTCTATTGGAATTGGGAACCTGTGATGAAAAATCATGAGATTTCATAATCTTGAAAATCTTTTAATTTATCATCAAGAAAGAGAGAGGTGAGGAGCTATTATATAATTTATATTTAATTTTCCTGAGTTTCATCTTGTCTGCAGGCTCTCAATCCGGCCGTGTGGAAAGACTTGAATTGCATTTATAAAAGTGTGATTAACACTAAATGGTGAATTACTAGATCATACTTGAATTAGTGACTTTCCATAATAATTATACTTTTAATACAACTAGCATTTATTAAAATTCCTTGACATTTTGGCAATGAACTTTAGAATGCTAAGGTGTTTTTTACTTCGGTCCTCAAAATATTTTTAGGATTTTTTTTAATTTTTAAACTTCGGTCCTCAAAATATTTTTAGGATTTTTTTTAATTTTAAATTTAGTTTTTTTTTTTAATTTCATTCTTAAACATTAAATTTTCTAAAGTTGAGATAAAATTATACATATCTCATAACTCAGGTCGTGAGTTTTACGAGTTAATCATGTTGACTCAAGTTTTTAATTTCATTCTTAAACATTAAATTTGCTAAATATTAAATTTTATAATTTGATTTGATTTGCTTTTAGTTGAGATAAAGTTATACATATCTCATAACCCAGGCCGTGAGTTTTACAAATTAATCATGTTGACTCAGATTTATTTTGTTATTTTTTTCAATTAATTTTGTTTTCAATTTTATCTTTCAATAGTAGGTTGGTTGAGAATTGAGCTGTATAATTATTTTTTTAATTCGTTTTTTATGAGGTTATCATGATCCAGGTTACTGGTTTTGCGGGTTAGCCAGGTTAACTCGAGTTTTTTGCTAATTAAATAATTTTTTTTAATTTTTTTCTTCAATATTGAATTGATTGAAAATTTAATTTTATATCTATTTTTTATTTTTTTTCTATAAAGTTATTACGGTCCTCTAACCTAAGATTAATGAGTTAACTTGAGTTGATTTAAATTATTTTTTTTATTTTTTTTTCAATTTGATTTTTTAGTATTGAGTTGATTGAGATTTGGTCTATATAATTTTTATTTTATTTTTATGAGTTTATCACAGTCTAATGACTTAGGTTATAGGTTAGGCTAATTGGCTCGAGGTTTTTTCCCTTTTTTTAGTTGAATTGATTTCAATTTTATCTATCAATAATTTTTATAATTTGTTTCAGTTGGTTGAATCGAATAGTTTTTGTATTTTTTTTAATTTCATCTTTCAATACTAGATTAATTAAAAATTAAGTTTTATAATTTTATTTTTATTCGCCTTCTATGGAGTTACTCGATCTTATGAATCATATTTATCAGGTTAACTTGGGTTGATTTAGCTTATTTTTTTAGTTGATTTTTTTTAAAAAAATTATCCATTTAACATTGAGTTGATTGAAAATTAAATTTAATATTTATTTATTTATTTATTTACTTTTTATAGAGTTATTAAAGTCTTATGATTTAGGTAATAAATTTAATAGGTTAGTCCAAGTTGACTAGAATCAATTTAATATATTGTTATTTTAATATTTTAAAAATATTTTAATTTTTTTAGTTAAATTATATCTTTATTGGTTGTATGAATTATAATTGGACTTATTAAATCAATTTGATTATGTCACGTCAATCATTATTATAATTGGACTTATTAAATCAATTTGATTATATCACGTCAAGTATAATTTTTTTTATTCAATAAACACATTAATATACCTTGATAATTTTTTTACATCCATAAAAAAAAATACCTTTAGTGCAGGCAAGAATATAGTATATTGCTCATTTGTTTTATAACCAAGTTCATGAAAAAAAAAAACCACATATTGAATTTCAAGTGCTTGGACAGGAAAGACCCATTATTTTAATAATGTTTCTTTCTTTAGGCTGCAGGCCCAGCCCAACTATAGTTTAAAAACAACAATAATAATAGAATATAAATATCAATTACTCCGACAAAACAAATCTCAGAGAGTGCGAGTGACGGAGTTTCCTTTCCTCTCCTCTCCTGTCCTTTAAATTTTCAATCTTCAATTTTCCCGCCTCACCTCTGTTCCCGAAACGCTCAATCACACAATAATCCTTTTGATTTCCGAAAGAACAATTGATTAAGGTAAAACACTTACTTTGCTTTCTTATTTTTATGATTTATTGACTAGTTGTTTATGGCAATAAAATGTGCTAATTTTGTTTCAGGGTTTGGAAAAAAAATATTTTATGGAGGATTTGTATAAAAAACTCTACGCTAAGTACGATAAGCTTAAGGTGTGCTGCTTTTCTTTTCTTTTGCAAGACAAGACGAGAGATCTTCTAATTATGAACACCCATTTGGTTTAATTATGTAATTCATCGATGATTCCATGTTTGTTTGCAGAAGAAACAATTGTCAGAGTTTGATGAGCTCAACAAAGATCAAGAAGTCAAGTTTTTGAATTATGCCTCTGGTATGCTTTTGTTTTCAATTTATGGTTTAATTAGTGAAGAAGAAGCCCGATAAAACCGCAAAAATCTTTTATTTCTTTTGTTTCTCTTGGTTCTCTAGTGCTATTCTTTGTAAATTAATGCCAACAAAAAAAAAAATGGTCCCTGCAGTTGCTGAAGAGATGATACAATACTTGAAAGATGAAAATGACAGGTTGCGTAAACAAGCCAGTGATTTGAGAAGTGAAGCTGCTTCAATCAGGCACCCAATATTCCCCCTTGTCCTTTCCTAAGTTTTGTGGTGGTTCTACATGTTTTTCCTTCACTATAATTTCAACTCATTCATTTTATTTTTCTTGCAGGTCCACCATGGATGAACAATGTGCCGAGTACCAGAAGCTGTTAATGGAAGAGAACCAGAAAAGTAAGGAACACTATATTGCATTTCCTTCCTTCTTCTTCTTCTTGTTTTTTTTTTTTTTTTTTGAGTCTTTTTAATCAATTTACAAGGCAATCGTCTGCGAAAGCTTCTACTTAATGGTGAACTCGTATGTGATAAATATTAATTTCATATGGGTACACCATAAAAAATTATCCACTTTCTTTTTTCTTTTCTTTTCTTTCCACTTATAACACCCGTTCAACATTTGTAAGCAACAAATAACAATTTTGAAATTTGACTCAATGCTGTGCAACTCCGTAATGTGTTGATGGGTTATGGTCACTTTATAGTGCCAACTTGAAAATTCTATTGCATTACTATCATCTGTAGTAAGATAATATCTGATATGAAATTACTATGAGGGTCATACTAATCTTTACACATGAAGCTTGGAATGGAAACGGATGGTTTGGATCCATGGCCAATGGGATTGCATATAAAGCGTGTTAATTTTTCATCAGTAGCCAATTTTAATGGCATCTCTATATTTTCTAGCTGTCAGTAGTTACATTATCAGGTGTCCAACACATTGAAACTGCAGAAGTATCCTTGACCCAAGCCATAGCAAGTGCCTACTATCTAATGAAAATAAAGTTCATGTAACACATAATTTGACTTTTTAAGAAATGAAAGCGGAAGCTCAACCCCAAGTGCCAATGGTAAAAATGGCTGATCAAACCATCTACCTAACTCAATATTACACCTCTTGCTCCATTGCATGTGAAGAAAAGACTTGTAGCTAAATATGTTACTGGAAGTATCATTTACTGACCTTTTTGATTTAGAAGCAAAGCTCTAGTTGCTCTGACCAAAACTTGTGGCTAAATAATCGTACATCTATTTCATTACTGAGAGGTTTATTTATGGCAGATAAAATTCTTAACGAAGAAGTTGAGAAGCTTCAAAACCAGCTTCAATATGGACTTCCTTGCAATTCTAAGGACAGAAACAGTGATAATGTCAGGCTGAATATGCTTGAAACCGCACAAGTTACACCAGAAGAGAGATGTATTGCCTCAACTAGAAGAATGGTGAGAAAACGTAGCCGAGAAGCTAGGGAGAAACTGGAAGTAGAAATTACCCATGGTGGGAATGATATAGTTGGATACAATGATATGGAAGAAAAATCTGCCAAGCGCTCATCCAAGGGAACTGTTTCCTCTGGGGATCTTCCAAATGATCAGCAGGTATTGTCCGTAACCTACATTTGCAGAGTGAAAGCTGTTACTCTCCTTTTTTCCCCCCTCTTAACTGTTCTGGTGTGGCTGTCCAGCTAGAATCCTGTGAAAGAATTTTATACAGATCAGGTTTGTTTCAAATGCTAAATTTTCTCCCATTTTCTGTCAATTTTTCATGTTGTATTCATCTATTTATTGTTTTCTTTTTTTCCTGATGGTGGCATTGTAGCTGAAAGTGGCCCTGCTAACTTCCAGTTTCAAGCTCTTCTCGAATACCTAGTAGGCATGAAATTGTCTGCTGTTAATCAAAATGATGAAGTTTGCATTTCAGCTCTGCATCAATCAAGTGGTAATTTCAGTAATAGATATGCAAATATCAAATATTTCAATACTTGTTTAATTTTGATTTTTCTGTTTATAGTTTGGACTTGGTTTTATTTCAATATTGATTCAAGCATAGGTGAATCTGCACAATTTTTTATTAAATATGTAGATATGCAAATAGGCCTTAAAGAAATCTGTTTATAGTTTAGCAATCACTGATTGAAAATCCAGCTAAGTCTGATGATGAGTTATTTAGTCCTGTCATAGTATATGCTTGAAATTGCAAGTCCTGTTTTAGTTTCTGATCTTCTCTGAAGAGTTATCATCCACCAATTTGAGTTTCCTTCTAGTATGTTATATGATCTGTCCAATGGATATTTAGCTATTTAGCCATGCTAAACTAAGTACATGTTGTAGTTAGATTCTAAGCATTACCTAACGGATATTTGAGCTATTTTCACTTTTTAATTGGATCAACGATTGCTTTGTTGGGTTGCATTAATTCAGCACAGACAATTTTATCATCATAGTTTTTATAGTTTTTATGCATTTTGACACATGCGGGACTCACATTGAGTTTCCAAACACTTTGGTACTTATGCCCAATTTGGAAGCATGATGGATACGCACAATCTTTTTTTTTTCCTGGAAAAAAAATTGTAGAGTATGCTCTAGAAAGCAATGTGCTTTGTTTTAT